ATGCATATATAAATACACACACATGCATGCATATATTTTAAGAAAAAAGTTTTGCTTATATATAAAATATTTATATTGATATATAATAGAAATTACATATGAATATATATATATATATATATATATAAGGGCTGTAAATCAATTAAAAATTTTAATCTAATTACATGGTGTGGCAATTAATTAATCTAATTTATATATACTTTATTTTTTATTTTTTTAAGCAATTTATTTCTGTGATGCAAAGCTGAATTTTCAGCACCATTACCCCAGCCTTCTGTCACATGATCCTTCAGAAATCATTCTAATATGCGGATTTGAAAACTTATTATTAATGTCTTAAGTCTTTTATGAATACAAAGTCCCAAAGAAAAGCATTTATTTAAACCATTTTTTTTTTTTTTTACAAATGGATTTACTGTATCTGTTAAATAATTAATGCATCCTTTCTAAACAGAACTTAATTTCTTTCAAAACGGGAAAAAATTATTAAATGATCCCAAACTTTTGAACATTAGAGTATCAAAATAAATCTGCACTTAGATGAAGTTTCGTTTACCTAGAAGAGTCATTCTCTTTGGGGTAGTCCTCGGTCATATCACCATCAGAGCTCATCAGCCTCTTCCTCTTCTCACTCCTACAGGACAAAATCATTTTTAGTTGTGGTCAGGGCAATCATTATTAAATGAACATCATTAAATTAAGATAACATGTGAGCAAACAACTGATAACAACTGAGCAAAAAGTGCACACACTTTCCAGAGACACTGCACCCAAATCTAAAGTCATTGCCAGGGCAAATTTGCACACCTGTTCTCAGAGAGCCCATTGCGGCCAGGTGTGGACGTCATCCGGCTGGGACTCCCAAGAGGCTTTCGGGGTGTGCTGTCCTCTCTGCTGTCGAGACTTGGACGTCTTGGAGTGCTCTGAAAGAAACAGTAAGTCAGTCATATAATATTTAGAAAACAATTTCAGTGCTTGTGATGCTGTGCTACCTGTTTTTCTGATGGAGAAAGGCCAGAGTCGTTCTGTGCTGCACGATTCCCAAGAACTAATCCGAAACTAGCACTTCCCTGGTTTGTCTTTAAAACTAAAGAAAAAGAAAAAAAGAAAAATAAACAAAAGTTAAAGTGACTTGAAAAAGAATGGACAGTGATGTGAAAACTACAAAACACAAGTCAAAAAACATACCTGCTGGTTTTCCAAGCCTCACCATTTCAATATATTCCTTCATTTTTTTAGCAACCAACAAGGGCAGTTTGTCCATCATGACAACGCTTGAGTCTTTGAGAGTCAAAGTCACACGGTTTGGGCCATGCGTTGGATAGCATGAAAGTTGCTTAACGTTGTGATTCAGCTGCAATAAAATAAACAAAGGAGTCTAAATAGCACTCAACACAATACATTAGATGCTCATTAGGGTTGTGATGGTGAGGAAATTTTCACACCAATGTGTCTTTTAGCTGTGAAAACTTTACTAATTTTTATTAACGTTAGAATGTTTTCCATTGTAATATTTCAAGATGAACATTTACTCAGGTTTACATGATTATCCATGGAATTGTTTTAAAGATAAATTGTGTTAAAATGCGAGTATCAAATATGATACATCAGGATTTTGAAGAATGTTAGTTGCTCATCTTTCAATCTTCATTGTATCGTATTGCATTAGGTTTCAAACAATTAAAACTACAAAGTTTTGATCGTAAACTTTTTAAAATCAACTTACAGACAATATTGTGAGATATAGAGTGACAAATGATATTCATAAGCATTTTATGCAAATAATCTGCTGTACGATTAAAAAGACTACATTGATTTACATTACAAACTACCAGAATTTCATCTTTTAGGCCATATAAATATCAGCAACTGCACCAACACTGCATACCAAGCTCAACAAACAGCAGCACGTATTTTTCTGACAATTATATCATACGTCAGGCTTTCGGGTGTAAATTGAAAGACAGTTCTGTACCTGAAACATTCTCGGAGCTCCGCCACTGTTGAACTTAACTAGCAGGCTTATTTTGTTGTCTCTCTCGTGGATTTCAAAGACCCCCTCTTTCCATTTGGTGGTCCCCAGCTCCCCACATCTGATGCGGATGCGGACAGCGCCACCGCTGGTCAGCTTGAGCACTGCAACGGCCATGAGTGCGAGAGGCGCTCAAAACTCCGGCTCGGGGCACAACTGAAGGCGAACAGATGCGGCCAGTGATCTGCAACAAAAGCCCAGACAAAAGACGACAGACAATGTCCGACGTGAAACAGCGTGAGACGCAGAAACGTAAACATTACAGCCGTGCGCCCGCAAACATCAGCGATGACATTTATACAGCAAGCGGGAGCGTAACAGGTGCTTCTTTGAACAAAAGCACTCGATTTTGCTCCTTTGTGTTTCATTTTACACATCTGATGTAAACGAGCCAGCGCACATCAATGTAAATAGACGTTTTAAAAGAAAACCGAAAACTATGAACTGTTAACCAACAGCTTAACGAGGAAACACACAACCCACGTGTCGGAAATGAATCGGACTCACAAATAACAAACCACCGTGAATCAATACAATCTGTCTAGTAACGCGTAAACGACATTTAACAACATTTCTGTAAAGATGTCCCGGTCATTTAAAACTGTCAACGACAACTATCCATACGGCACAAAAATAGGCGCCAGTGTAAAATCCGCATTAAACTGTTACGTTACATTTCTTACATCCACTTCTTTGCAAATATTCCACATGATATAAAGCTAAATCATTAAGTCAAATCACAAAATTGTTGCTCTAAAAGCCTTAAGCGTAAGTATGACAAACTTCTAACGTTTTAAAGTGACCTGATTAAGTCACGCATCAAAACGATGCCCAAAGCTCTCCTTTATCAGATTTGCTCACAAAGAGCCCGCAGTTCCGCGTGTTTAGAGGCGTTCCAGCGAGTGAGGAGAAAAGTAAACAAACACATCAGGTCAAGACATTACGCGCGCTTTAAATGAACCAGCTTGACTAGCTTCCCTAGAGACCGCGCACACTTCACACACTCACGTTCCCGCCCTAAAACAAAGTAACACTCGTGTAATTCGCTGAAGCGGCTCTGTATCGTGCCGTATTCTCACACTCCGCTGTGAAATAATCACACACGCATCGTCCCCACGCAGCTAATTAACTAGCATTAGCAGCCCAGGCCGTGTGACAGGCTTGGCTCCGCTAACTGACCATTCCGAGAAAAAACGAGCGCAAAATCAGCTCACAACCCGCATCTCGTTTACCTGAGGGAGGGTAATTCCTCGAAGAAAGCCCTGGAGGATGAAAGTATCCGCTCAATGTGGCGCACTGCCAGTGTGTGAGTTTTGCCGGCTATGATGTTATCTGCGCTCGCGTACCACGAGCAGCCGATGATGGCGGGAATGTGAAAATTTAGAGCGGAAATGGGAGGTGAGAAGAGACGCGCAAACTCGCGCGAGATTTGGGGGGATTTCTTCTGTGTACACTGACATTTTTATACTGACAGTGTATGATATTGAATGAAATGTATGTGCAAATAAAATCATAATTTGATCCCAAATCTAAAAAAACGTTATGAAGCTTCACTAAATATTTTCTGTATTACGTCACCAGCGCCCGCTCTGATTGGCTGCAGAGACAGCGCGCTATCAGCGGGGCGGAAGTTCAGCATTATCCACGGGGAAAAAAGGGAGAAAGGTCTTCCTTCGCTTAGGACTTTAACATCTCAATTCAGAGAAAGACAGACGGTTCTTTAAAGCGTTAGCACGGTGAGTGATTTGTGACATTTTATTAGTCATCTATTACAATAAAGTTAATAAGTTAAGGCGTTTTGCATACGAACTTTGCTTAAGGTATTCCCCCCTCCCTGGGTCACAAACTACGAGTCTAGCTGTATTGTGGTGTTTCGGAGAATTCATCAGCTTCGACATACTTTGTGTTCACTGTGTCCTTTATTAATGAATCGCAGTCGTTATTCAGGTAAACGCTTTTGAGGTCTGTTTACATTGTAAACGTGGTGAGTGCTGAAAGGCCTCCTGCTGCTGTGGCCTTTGATCAGCCTCCTTTACCAGCTAGAGATATTTAACTAGTCCTGCCAAGTCACCAGGGGTTTTTATGCTGTGTCTAATAAGTGTTTGTGTGTCAGAGGTTTTTTTTTTTAATCTAAAGTGATTTACAATACAGATATTATAGATAATACAAGCCTCGTATTATAATTAAAGGTACCGTTCACATCAACAAAAAAGTAAGAAAACAATATGCTTCCTCGGTAAAATTACTATTGGTTTCAGTTTATACAGTCATGACCAAAAGTTTTGGCAGTGACATAAATGTTGTGTTTTGCAAAGTTTCCTGCTTCAGTATTTGTAGATTATTGTTCCACACGTTTCTATGGTATACTGAAAAACAATGAAAAGCATATCATAAGTTTTAAAGGCTTTTATTGGCAAAAAAATATAACGAGTCAATATTTACAGTGTTGACTCTTGTTCTTCTTAACCTCTGCAATTCGCTCTGTCATGCTGGATATTAGCTTCTGGGCCAAATCCTGACTGATGCTGATCCATTCTTGCCTTATTAGTTCTCGGAGTTGAAAACAATTTGTGGGCTTCTGCTTGTCTGTCCACTTGCTTTTGAGGACTGACTTTTCTCCATTCTGTCACCGATGGAATTTTGGTTCCTTTGTAACCTATTGTGCGTTATGGAAGAAAGAAACACACGATGCAGGTCACCATCAACCTATGTATTAATGTTAAAGGAAGGTGCAACAAGACGATAGAAAGTACAATGTGTTTTCCCCCAGCATATACACACGAGTGCAGGGGCAGAGGAAACCCTGAATCAGAGTCTTAAAGGGACAGACACCCAGACCATTACGCCTGCTGTCGCCTCTGGCTTGCTTAGTTGGGGACACTTAATTTCCAGCGATATGGTCGACTTGATTGCACAGATACTATTTAAACTGAACTGAGCTGGACGATGACAGCACTGAATTCAATGATGAACTGCCTTTAACTGAAAATTGAGTGTTTACTATTATCATTTTGCATTATTGACACTATTTTCCTATTTTGATACTGTAAAGCTGCTTTGACACAATCTGTATTGATAAAGCGCTATATAAATAAAGGTGACTTGACTGACCACAGGTTCTCTATGGGATTAAGATCTGGCGAGTTTCCTGGCCACGGATCTAAAATTTCAATGTAGTGATTAGGGCTGCACGATAAATCGCATGCGATATTTAACGCGAGTAGTCACATGTGCTGCTGATATGATTAGTCAATTAATGTTAGCTGGTCAATTTGTGTCAGGATAAAAAAAACTGTGAAATTTTTTTTTTTTTCTTTTTTTTTTTTATGAAAAGTAAATTTTTTTGGCCAATTAAGCTTTTTTTTCAAAGCCATGAAATGTAATCTCAATTATGGAATGAGTAATATGTAAAATGCACAAAACCCCATTCTATTCACAGTTACGCAGTTTCTTGGGTCATTCTGTTTGGTCAATATAATTGTTATTCTGAAATCAGGTATGTCTGGGTTTTGGGATTTATATGAGCATCATCATTATTATTACCTTCTCTTTTCCAGGCATGTGATGTCAGCTGACAGCAGCAGATGTAGCTGACATCCTTCTGTCACAGCGGCCAGTGGCGGAGGTTTCGGCACTGAGCGGTGGTGCCCTGATGCGCCGCGGGCCCTACATCAGCATGATCACCAATCGGACCATGAACGTGCTGATCCGTGCTGCCATGCTCTTTATGGTGGGCGTGTTTCTAGCGCTCGTGCTGAACCTGCTACAGGTGCAGCGTAACGTCACTCTCTTCCCTCCCGACGTCATCAGCAGCATTTTCTCATCTGCCTGGTGGGTTCCTCCCTGCTGTGGAACAGCCGCAGGTACACAAACACACACACGACATGTTATTAGTAAGGAAACACAATTATAAGCAGTGTTTGGATGAACTGCTTCCGTCATGCAAAATGATAACCGAGGATTCTCACACAAATGAATGCTGCTGTCATTCCCAATGTATGATGACATTGCATGAGACATTTAATTGAATGTCACTCTTCTTTTTTTCAGCGTTGATAGGTTTGCTGTACCCCTGTATGGATCGTCGTCTGGGGGAGCCGCATAAGCTCAAGAGAGAGTGGTCTAATGTGATGCGCTGTGTGGCCGTCTTTGTGGGTATAAATCATGCCAGTGCTGTATCCTTCTCGTTCTTGACCTTCTCTAACAAAGTCATTCCGTCAAGCTGCAATAAATTACCGCTGTTTATGACTTATTGTTTATATCTTAAAGTCGCCATAAAACATAGGTGAAAAATCACAATTGGGAATTACTGATGTATTTTATGTGCATCTAAAATAGCTTTTGTGAACAACCGACCTTATTTCAGGCTTTTAAACAAAAACTCATTTAAAAACCCAATGACATCAGGACAATGGAACCAGAAATGCTACCTTGTTTCTGGGTTTTGGCCTACAAAAATGCATCATCCTTGCTGCACTCGATTGTACAAAAACAAATTGCTCTTGTACGACTTGTTATCTTTAACACTGTTGCCAACAGAAGGTGGACTTTGCCAATAATGTGCAACTGTCATTGACGTTGGCTGCCCTGTCTGTCGGCCTGTGGTGGACGTTCGATCGTTCACGCAGTGGTTTTGGGCTGGGAGTCGTCATTGCAATACTTGCCACACTGGCCACCCAGCTACTGGTTTACAACGGAGTCTTTCAGTGAGTTTCATACCCACCCTGTTATAAGTCTGCACAATGTAGTTACAAGTATCACCAAATGACAGAAGTAGTGTTTTAAAGCCTGTTCACGCCAAGAGCAGTAACTATAAGATCCACTGCTTACACTTGCATCAATACAAGCTTGTTTTGCTTGGATATTTTGTTTGGTACTTCACTGTCCATGTGTGAATGTGTGCAGATATACCTCCCCTGACTTCCTGTACATTCGGTCCTGGCTGCCATGTATCTTCTTCGCAGGGGTGATAACTGTGGGGAATATTGGACGACAGCTAGCTCTGGTAAACTCTTGCATACTTTCTCACACATGATCACACTTATAAACTCTGTTCCAAACCCTAGTGAACTTTGAACTGATTTAACACTGCTGGGGTCAGTGAGTTCTTTTAGTTGTTTTTTCTTCAAGGATTCATTAAAAGTGACGGTAAAAACATTTATTTACGTTACAAGATTTATATTTAAAATAAATGCTGTTCTTTTAAGGTTTCTATTGAACAGCGAATCTGGTTGTAAAATATATGACAGTTTCCACAAAAATATTAAGCAGCAGAACCGTTTTCAAAATTGATGATAATTGATTAAAAAAAAATTTTTAAATATGAAAAGGATTTCTGAAGGATCATGTGACACTGAAGACTGGTATAATAATGATGAAAATTCAGCTTTGCAACACATGAATAATTTTTTTAATATATTCAAATAGAAAACAGTCATTTTAAATTGTAATAATATTTCACAATACTAATGTTTTTACTACTTTTTTATCAAATACAGCCTAACAGTCTTCTTTCAAAAACACACACACACAAAAAATAAATAAATAAATCTTGCCAACCCAAAACTTTTTAATAGTAGTGTAGGTTAATTTGTTGGGTTGTGTAAGGTTTATTTATTTATAAACTCATTTATTTACAAAGCTATATATAAATAGCACATGTTTATTTGCATAATATTACATGTTTTTTTCAATTTTGGAAAGTTCTCAAAATTGTGAAACGGAGTTATGTTGCCTTTGAAACACTATGCATTGCATTGATTTGTGTTTCTTTATTTGCTGCAGTACGAGTACAAAGTCAGTCAGGAAAAGACCCACCAGGATTAATGAAGAATCCTCTGCACACACGGGAAAATCCAGGATAAAGGAGTGAGGAGTCAAGCAGGAGCACCATGACTGACAGAGCCATCCACCATTGAGGAGGAGCTGCTCTCTGTGTTTGAGGATGGACAGTGTTGTGATCTGTTTTCTGCCTCCTCAGGCGCTCAGGTTCTCTAAGTGTGTAACAGTAAGATATCATGTCGTCTACACACTCTCATACTGTCTTCGGCAGCACTGAAATACTACCAGCTGCTATAAAGTGCCAAACTGACTCTGACTGATCGAACCGCATGACTGGAGGCAAAGCCTGGTGTGTACAAGATGGACAAAATATTGACTGAATATTTAGATGCATTACATGCACAGACACAAAACTGAATCGCAAGGAATTTTCTATATGATCTTCCTACAGAAAAATCACTTCTCATTAGAAGTAAGGAGAGTAATATAGAGTATTATGACAGGGCATCAAATCTGTTGCATGTCACTTTGTTAAAGGGCTGCTCACTTCTGCGGTATCTCAGATCCACCACTAGTGGGCATTAGAGCATAACTGACCTGTCACCCTGTATTTGTAGATGCAGTGCTAAACACACAAAAGGCATCATATTTTATAACAGACTAAGCAGTGTGCTGTGTTCATTAGGTGGGAGGGGAAGGTGGGGGGAGGTTCAACAAGGTGTTGATTACTGCTTTGATTACAACTTGAATATTTTATTGTGATGCATTCCTCGTTATAACCAGATCATTCCCTGCTAGACCCGAAGAACTCAGTTTTGACTGAAAGAAGCATCCCTTAGCTCCAGAAATCACTTCAGGGTCTGATATAAATAGTTGGCTTCAGAATAAAATTAAAGTGATTCTTAATGACATTCCATTGATTATTACCAAAGCCTTAAAATAACAGATATATTGGAGCTCAAAGTAAAGAGGATAGAACAGGCAAACCACCATCTGTGCACTGATTTTGGATAAATTAAAGGAGGTTTTTTTTATTTTTTATTGGGGGGATATTTTATGAAATGCTGAGTAGAATGCAAAGTAAGTGGGATCAATATGGTTTAAGTGTTACAATGAGATTTGACAACTTAATTGCAGACTTGCAAGAGTAATTGTACAGTTTATATGTGACATCTGAAAGCGAGCATTTTGGGATGTTTTGTCATTCATGGGCGATTACTTGATCCACGGTTTGTATTTAACCACATTTACTGTTTTTTGAAGTTAAAGTTACGTGTTTGTTATTACGACTATTAAAAGACACTTTCTTTGAGTTTATTTTCTTTGGTTTTTATTATGTGTTTGCATTGTTTTTCTTTGGCTTTTTGAGGCTTTTGTACAATCACAGAAAGTCATTTCAAATTCATTCAGTTAGTAAACAAACCAATACAAAATTATACTTTAATACAATTAATGCATATAAAATGTATAATCAGTGCTTGGTAGATTACTGATTTCAAATTCCATGACAGAAATTGGAGTTATTAACATAATCCATTACATTACACATTTTAGTGTAATCAGACTGCTTTTAGATTACTTTTGACCAAACTCATTTATCACATTGAATTAAACAGTATAATCTTGAACCATATTGGTATAAATATACAAAGAGAAAGAAAATGTATTCCATTCGTTGTTATTAGAATGTTGTTCATGAAAAATGCGTATAAATAGTACGCCAAATAAAAACGAAAACTCGTATTGATGTGCAAAAATGGACTTTGTCGTGCATATGATACGCATGTGTTTGGCGTGCATATAATACGCAGTTTTCGCGTGCATATGATACGAAATTTGTTGGCGTGCATATGATACGCATCTACCCCACAACCCTAAACCTACCCATCGCGTAGCATATACACGCCAAAGTCAATGTTTGCGTATCAATACCAGGAGTTTTCGTTTTTATTTGGCGTACTATTTATACGCACTTTCATGAGATCGGGTTGGTTATTAACAAGATGAAGAGCATTAAACGGTACATTATGTCAAGGTTTTCCAAACGTGTTTGTAAAAGAACTGCAGGGGGTTTGCAGGTTTAACGAAAAGCTTAAAAGTAATTAAATCATAAAAATGTAAAACTAAAAAAAAAAAAAAAAAAAGCATTTTAAAATAACAATCAAAATAAAACACTAACATAGATTAAATATTTTATTTGTTTTCCTGCATGTCACGTGACCATTAACCGACGTCAGAGAAACGTGAACATGCAAACGTGTTACTTGGTTATTAATTTATTACCTTACAATCTCTGGATTACTTCAAGTAAATATATTAGGTAAAAGAGTTACAGCTGTCAAAAAAGTTTGGGAATCCCTGCATTGCATGCAAATAAGAAATAACATGAATTTGTGCATTTAATGTGTAGCCTACTAAAGACATAGTAATGCACGGTTAAATAACCCACTGAGTGATAATTCAAATAAAAATGAATGTGTTCAGCAGTAGTTGATGCAATGTTGAAATGTTGAGAAAAATACTTCTTAAAATTGAAATTATTTTTGTAAATCCAATGGTCAAATGCTGTGTGTCCTCATAGCAAACCTGACTAGTAACTGTCCACAAAACTGGAAGACTTTCTGAATGAATATAAGCAGAAAGCTATTTTAGAAAGAAAAATGTAAAAGATAAAAAAGAAGAATTAGGGAGATTTAATAAATTATGAATAATTAATTGCTATTGTGTCAATAATATGTAATCATGTAACCAAAAAAAAAGTAACTTAATCTAATTACAGTACTTAATTTGTTGAATCTGATTACATAATTCAGATTGCATGTAATCAGTTACTACCCAGCACTGAATCTATTCGATGAATTTTAGATGTTAGACATGCTAGGCTTTTGTTGTCATAGACCTTAGTCAGGGTAGCGTCATATATAATTTTGAAACCCCGGATTGCACAGATCGCTATTGGGAATGACTGAATTTTACAGAGCAACAGTAAATGTGACCGCACCTATAGACAGGGAAAACCCTAAAATAACGCCTTGAACCACTGAGTTCATATAACCTGTTCGGCTGTTTAAATACTGTAAGTTATGTGATTTTTAATTAACTTTGGCTGCGCCAAGCGAGCGCCAAGCCCATGACCTAACAGCACCAAATACTATTATTATATTAAGAGCATAAAAGAGGCATTTGCACAGCAAAAATAGTTATATTGCCCTCAGAGAGCAGGTTTTTATGACATAAATGTACAAACCAACAGTTTTAATGAACTGTAATTAAAGGAATGGTAATTGTTGGGGTTTTTTGTCGGTTCTGCTCAATGCCTGCTGTGACTGTGTGTGTGTGTGTGTGTGCGCTTGTGGTAGCAGATTTAGAGGGTGATGTTCATGGCTGGCTCCTCCATATCTCAGTCACACTCTGACTGCTGTAATCCCACTTACGGGCTGTGTGCGTTTAATCGATTTGACTGTGTCAGTAGGCTATGTGTGTGGTCTCATGTAACTGCTCAAAGCCTGAACAACCAGTCATCACTAACTCTCCAAGGACAGTTCTCTGGCAAAACTATGACTTGTGTCTCACACACACACTCTGCCTCGTTCTGTAAAGGTTAATGCAGAAGATCTGCTTTAATCCATTCTGCTCAGTTCCAGAGAGTGTGAAGGAAGTGTGAACCAGCGCTTTCACCCACTGATCTCACACACCTGTTTGCCATTTATCTCTCCTCTTGACTTCTGAATTCTGACTCTTTCAGTTTAGATTTTCATTTTCTGTTTTTCACCAATTTGAAGAATGTATCAAATTGAATGATGAATGGAAGGATTGTTTTGTGCTACAAGAAGGAACTCACCAGTGTGTTTGGAAATCTGTACGTGAATTTTCTATAAAGGCTTTGAGAATATTTAACAACAAGACACCTAAGATAAGACATTTTAGCTAAAATGATGAAAGGGGAGACTTATCTCTCTGTGGGATGATTTGTAAATATCAATTTCTGTATAAACACAAACCTTAAAGGGATAGTTCACCCCAAAATTAAAATTCTGTCATCATTCACTCATCCTCATGTCATTCCAAAACCATAAGACATTCCTTCATCATCAATGAAGACATTTTTAATATTCTCTTATAATTTTCCATCCATTGAATTTTCCACGCATCTAAACATTTGATGCATCAAAAAGTTCATTAAGACCTTGTAAAAAGCAATCCATATGAATCAAGCAGTTTAATCCAAGTTTCATGAAGAGAAATGATCGCTTCATATGATGAAGAGATCAAATGTAGGCTTTTATTTATAAACACTGATCAACACACATACATGGAGCTCATCAGATATTATAAACATGAAAGCTTGACACATGACTCACGAGAACTCAAGCAAGCATGGTTGAGCTTCTGTGTTTACCATATTTGATGAGCTCTATGTATGTGCGCTGATCAGTGTTTATTTCAGGGTAATGTCTTCTTTTTCTGTATATAAGCCCTATATCTAAACCTTATTTATTTATTTACATACATTTACTTATTTATATGCATGTATTTACATTAATTGACAAACACTGTAATGATTTTTTTTCAAAGTAGTAATTAAAACCAGTTATTGGAGTATGTTTTACAAGAAAAAGCCGTTTTTCTACTTGGAAAATGTCACACTCTAAAAAATGCTGGGTTAAATACAACCCAGTGCTGGGTAAAATAGGGACAAACCCAGCAATTGGGCTGTTTTGACCCAGCGGTTGGGTTAAATGTTTAACCCAACCTTCTGGGTAGTAACCCAACCGCTGGGTCAAAACAACCCAATTGCTGGGTTTGTCCCTATTTTACCCAGCACTGGGTTGTATTTAACCCAACATTTTTTAGAGTGCACGTTTAATATAATTTGTTACTTGTAAAAAAGATGAGAAAGCCCTAAACATACCTGATCCAAACATACAGGACAATCCATCATTCCTCATTCCTTACAAAGCATCTCTCAAACGAATAATGAATATAGATGTGTGTTGTTCACAACCTCTCGGTGCAAACACTGGTCTTGATCTGTGCTCACTCTGATCTCCAGACATCAGATCTGTGCTCCTCTACAGTATCTGAGCACTAAAGGCTGCTTAGACACATCACACATTTGTACAGCGGGATTGTTTTCCTCTCGGGTGCCCGTCTGACGGTTGCTTCTGACTCCTGACTGTGAAAGTGTGCTGTTAAATGAACACTGTAAGAGAGCAGCAGGTGCATGGAGATTGACAGGAGGCCTCGTTCTCCTCACTACGCGACTGATCACGGAGGGGGTGAATCTGAGGAGTTAGCTGAAAATCTCCTGCACTGGAGACAGCGTGTATTTCTAATGGGCTACAGGGGCTCTGAAGTGGAAACGAGCAGACATGAACGATGCAGGCTTGCTCATTATGAAGGATCTGAACAGCCATGACACATTCAGAAAATGTGACAGTCAGGAAAGATAATGCATCATGATATATTCGTTGAATCACTCTACCCGTGTGAAAATGAAGTGCACTTTAGCATACTGCACTTTAAAAAAAGAGTATTTATTACAGAAATAATATGCTTTAAAAGAACATTTTAAAATGTATTATAATTTTAATTGATATCAAGTTCAATTAGTTGAACATTAGAGTGCTTTCTTGACACTCTTAAGCAAAACTTACACTCTAAAAAATGTTGCTGGGTTTGTCCCTATTTTACCCAGCACTGGGTAGTATTTAACCCAGCATTTTTTAGAGTGTAATTATATATTTTTATGTAATTTCACAATTTCTTCTGTTCTCTTTGAAATATGGTTAAAGTAATGGTGAATGACAAGCATTTACGGTAAACTAAAATATATTTTAATGACATTTCTATTGAAACTTGTATGTCATGTATTTAAATATATTTGTAATTACACATAATGATGAAGTTGCAATTTAGTACATTTAAAATAGATTAACTCTCTTGTGGTGTAAGTACACTTAGGTTGCCTTTTATTTCATTGATATTATTGCCTGCAAGTACAGTTTTTTTTAAATATATGTATTATATTTTATATATATATTTGAAGTGCATTACACGTGCATGTTAAGTACAATTAAGCACACTTATTTTTAACATTGGTAATGTGATAGAAGTGACACACAGTTTCAAGAACATTTAGTACACATATTTACAAAATGTACCATGTTTCCACCAAAAATGCTACAGCTATTGTTACTACTTTGGGCATGTACCATGGCATAACCGTGCTATTCTTTAAAGTACTGTAAAGTGTGATGTAAAACCATGGTTCATAGTATATAA